GTAGTAATAGTAGTAGCAATAGTAGTACTCCAGTTTTTTTCAAACTGTGTCCTACACTCTAAAACAATTCGATGTACAAATCGGATCTCAAAGAAATGAAAACATTATCCTGGTTAGTATTATGTTCGAAATTACCTAAATAATACGGTTTCATGTGAGACATATAAAACAATACTAGCTTCAAATAATGTGGGGAACTATCATAATCATTCCGGTGAATGAGACTAAAAAACAATGCTTGTAGGGAATGGTATAAGCACAGCGAACGAATGTGGGGCGACATATCGATTAATCTGCCAAGCAAACGGACTGTAAACTAGTAATTGCCAGGGATGATGAGTGACTTTGATGCTAGTTATGAGCACTTTTAAGTCAGCCGGTCAGTCTGTGAAACTGCAGTTCATACTGGCGATTATATGGTATGATATCGGTAAATCTGTCCATATGATTGGTCAACCCAGAATCAAGCTATTTTCACGCAGCTCAGTGAATTTGTGAGAAAAAGAGACATAAATCTGTAGTTTAGCAGTTACGAGAATCATTAACTTTTTCATTTAGTTTGGCAACCTTTTGGAGATGAACTCGGATGTTGCATTTGCTCTTTTAGATTCCTCTCCAACTTTACCTTCGGTCACCCAGACTGCACCTCTCACAAAACAAAAATCGAAGACTCAAAGTTCCCGTGAGTTTTTATTGTCTCCATTGAATCCTCTTCAATGGATTTTTAACTCTTCATTTGTTGTCTGATACCACACCATGATTTGAACTGCTAATACCGGGAATTATTCTGAACTTGAATTATCTCATTTCTATCCATGGAAGTTGATTTGGACGAATCGTTCTCATCTAATTGTTTGAATAATTTATGAAATCTCCAGTAAAAATCGGATTTCCCAAACGAGATAGGGTAACACACTGATCAAGGCTATAATGAATTACACTGACTTTGAGCTTCCTAGGAATTAGGACCAAAGTTTTGAGGACTTTTCTTATGAACTGTGTTCTACCTGAATTCATTCTTGGATATTATTTCGATCAATTTATTGTATACTGTCATTCCTCTTTCTGAGTTTAGGTTGTGAAATCTACCACTGGAGAGTCAATTGATTTTACTTTGGGATCAGCTTGTCCCCCTTTTCAGATGCCAGTCTTAGCCAAACAGATTATTCACTATTCACATTCCTACCGAATGTTCAACTGAATGATGTTTCAGTAGCACACAAATACTGGATAAATTTGTTGGAACCTCAGTTGTACTGGATAAATTAATCTGACAATTGTGATTGACTAAAAAACTATATTACTTTTGGCTCCATGCGCTTCATTCATCGTAATTAGCTGCGAATAGAAGGAAACCGACCCGTTAGTGTTCTTGGGGAATGAACCCAGTAAGATCAAATACACATATGAGATCCGAGACTAGAAGGTACGTCAACAATTGTGAGAGATCCTGAGGACAACAACTAGTTATGCGATGTATGTACATCCGCATACACAGGTAACCAATCTCGATAATTAGATGGACCGCATAAATGAACCCCACCGCAAGATAAAACAACCCTTGATGGATTCGGCCCAATAGCTGCGTGATAGACAACATGCAGAACTGGCTGACTGCGATGCACTAAAATATTTTCTTTCTGATCAAATTGAGTTTCATAATATTTATCACTTATAATAATGCTTTAGGTATGGGCAATAATTTCTTTTGTCTACATGGACCTACGTAGTTTCTAGGCTGCATGATTATCAAACAAGTTATTCACTATTCCTACGGAATGCTCAACTGGGTGATGTTTCAGTAGCACACATATACTGGGTAAATTCGATGCCAAATAAAAGTGCCTGACCTTGATTTCCAAGACTAAATAAACTCAACATGAGAATCGCAAACTTAATCAAGCATGAAAACGCAATATATTATAATAGGAGTGACTCAAGAATTATCCTAAATTATTTCCATAAACCCTTGCATCTCGGTTATTTGTTATGAGGCATTATTTTATCCAATATATAATCCAATGTAGCAACTCTATTGAATAACCGAATGCAATTCTTCTGTCACCCAGATAAATTGCATTTAATATGGTTTTATAATAATGTTCTATGTTTGAAAGCTAACTCAGTTAATTCGAGAAAAACAATTATAATCAAAAGCAACCTTCAAGTCCCGGTCATTTGTGTGCACAGCTTTGAATGTTGTCACCATTGTTGTCACCATAATGAAGCAAGCAACGCTCAAAACCAAAAATTCTCGTTATCTCAGTGAGGAGGAAAGAAACAAAATTGCGCGAGCACACAAGCTGGGATTCTCCATATCAAATCTTGCTCAGTAAAGATGCGTGACTCTAAGGTCCATTTCATGCAATTTCCCCCTAATAGCCCGGATCTCAATGTGATAGAAAATTTGTTCTCTGTTTTAAAGACAAGGGTCAATGTGCTACCTTTACATTGGATATTAGAGGAAAAAGGGTAATACGTAATGGAGCACAAAATAAAATATGACTTCATAACAAAGATGATGGATTCGATACCGAAGAGCCTGGAAAAGGTCCTAAAGAACAAAGGCCGACAAATCGACTATTAGTGTACAGTCATGTTACATCCTAACTGATTTCAATGTTTAGTTGTTGTAAATAAAAATTGTTAAATTCTTTTTGGTAAGCTCTTAACTCATAATGGTCTGGATCAACTACTACTGACGAAACGGGGGTATCCGCTACTTTCTGAACCATTCCGTTTGCTGAGTATAAACGAATCACGAAAATCAGTGCTACAATAACTCACCAAGGCTTGCTTATTATTATTTGGAAAAAATTTACTCCATTATAAATGATGTTGCCTATACGACCTCACAAGTGTTTCACAGGTACCCGTTGCTTCAGTTTCGATCAGACTTGTAGATCACTTAGCAAATAAAGCGGTCATTCATGAGAAAGAATGAACTTCAATGTTGTTTTTCATGAAATATTTTTCAAATCTAAGCGTTAACTTTTAAACTACTACACATTTCATCCCGGAATTGAAGGTCAGGCAAATTCAAACGGTGATACAGGAAAACTAAGAGCATTTCAGAGGAAGAAAATTTTCGGAGTAAATGCTCTTCATCCATATCTATTGATATGCACATATCATACTGAAAATTGAAATGTATTTTCAAAATGAGAGTCATGTTGCAAGAGTTTGCTAAATGCTTGTATAAATGTGGCTGTGTGTTGTCCGTGGATCTTTATACGTTCAACTATTTTCTGAATGTTGAACGGCTGAACTCAAGATTTTAATATTTGCATTCTGTATTGGTATTCGTATTGAAGCTTTAGCGAGATACACACAAACGTTTGGTTAAAGAGAAAACAGTTGCATTACTAGCAGGAGAAGTATAAAAAAAAACAAGGCATCGAGCATGTGGGAATGCTAATTAACCACTAACTACACTAGAAAGATCAGAAAAAATACTCTCCTTGTCAGCTAGTATCTGGACAAGTTAAAGTCCCAAGACGTTTCTGTAGACATAGGCGAGTTGGGATAAGTCTGTGTTTTGAGCAGCTGGAGGGATAGGGTTTGCATACACATGGGTTCATATCTAAAGGATGGGCATTATCAGATAAACATGTTGGTAAACATCAGTAAGTCCATCTGTGATGCATGTTAATTAGGAATGATAATGGAGCTTGTGAAATGCATATGATCATTATCGAAACCATCGGTCTGCACCTGGAAATCAGCCTTAAATAGATCAAGGATACTCATAAGTGAACAGTAGAGCTGTATGGGGAAAACACTGCTGGACAAGACCTCCTATCGCCGACTGGTAGCAGCAAAACTGATACAAGCGTATTATCCAAAAGGAGAGAATTTTTAGTTTATGAGTAAGAGTTTCCGTATGTAGAGACTAGTAAAGGCTGTTTTCAAGAATGACACCAAAGAAACTTACGTGAATGACCCTGTTTATTGGTTTTCCCTCAATCCGTATACTGCCAGAGGTAGTTGGAGAACGGTTTTAAAGGCAATTTTCCCAGTTTAAACTAAAACCAGATAATTTGGAAAAAGCAACGTTAAAGAGTAAATTTGTGTTGTATATCCTCGGTTGCGATTGATTAAATATAGAAAGAGGGGTGATCATGTCATCAAAATGCTTACAATATCGTGTGGGGGGAGTAGAGCTAAGTCACTGATATGGGGCAATAAAGCAGCACCTTGAAACAGACCCGAACTATAGAGTAACGCCATTGACTGTCTTCGTCCTTATTTTGCATTCTGAATTGGTAGTGAAAAAATGTATCAAAACCCTTCAAGAAAAAAAGAGAAACAACCAAACTACCGTTTGTCTTACAAGTAAAGGAAAATAAGGAACAAACTTAAAAGCTAAAGAGTAATCAAGAGATGCGCAGTGCACATATTTGGGTTTTTGTTTAGTGACTTGCAAACAAAGTGAACTAGAAAAGACAGCATACCGCATGGCGCGTTGTTTTCCTTATATGCCAATTGGCAATTGTCACTGGGGTGTTGAGAGAAAACTGAGGGTGGTGTGTAAACGACCGCTTCATTAATTTCAAACCAGTGGAAGAGCGACCAACTGGACTGAAATATTTCGCAAATACGGACCTGTTGCTTTAGGGATGGGTGTGATTCTCACTGAGTTGAGTACTGTGAAGAGGTTTGCAGTTTCAGTGAAAGATTATCTGTGTAGAATGATGTGAGACAATGGCTCTGCATTGTGTTTCAGAGGTGTGGAACTGTTTTTCTGGACCAGATGTGATTGACATCTTGTAAGAACTCGTATCTCTCGATATTTCACGAGAGTTAATCGGTTAAACCGAGGAGGGATTGTTTGGAAAACTTAACTCGATGTACCTGAGGTGCGTGCCCAATGGGGAATGAAAAAATGAAGCACCCAGTTGATCAGTATCAGCAGGTGAACTTGAAATCGTTTTCTTCAAGGATCAAAGATTTATTATGGGAATAACTCACAAACTCATGCCTTCTTCGTCCCAAAGGTTCGTGTTGTGATTAAAGGACAGTGATACATATAATTTATTGAGTAAAATTTCATATGATACGGGATTCCTCCCTTGTCGCACGCAGCTCCACTTATGTTGGGATGTAAGGTGTGCCAAAGCTGCAACGAGTCCCACTTTGAAAGATTCAATGCTTGGTGCACAGACGGCTTGGGATGGGAGAGAGTTCCAGATCGAACACACTTTGACTGCGAATGACTGACGACGGCATTCCAATCAGCATTTTGGGAGCACTAGTTTGAACACATGTCCTCTAAGATGAACGCTGGGCGATAATTTTAGCAGTGAAAGACGCGGATGGCTTGGATTCTGCATGATTTGGTATACCATGATCATATCTCCCTTGGCGCGTCGGTAGTTATCGGAATATAATCCCGGCGACTTCAGTTTCTCAGCGTAAGAATAGCGATTCAACGCCCTAACCACGTTGGTGGCCATCCTTTGTGGACGTTCTAGAAGTTTGCAGTCACGTTCTAACCATTGATTCCATGCCTGGATAGCGTACTCTGTGAGTGAGCGAATGTATGCTCAAATTCATATTCAAATTTTTATTATGGGATATAACTTACAAAGACTTCGCTTT